GGTTTCGATTTCGATTTTGGCTTCTAATGATTATGAAAATGGCGTCGTAGTGGCGCAGTAGGTAGTGCTGTCGCCTCACAGCTAGAAGGTTGCTGGGAAGCTGGTTCGAGCTCAGTTGGCGTTTCTGTGTGGAGTTTGCATGTTCTCCCTACGTTCGCGTCGGTTTCCTCCACGCTTTCTTTTTAAAATCATACATTTTTATCTGACTGAACTTGTACAAATTTGTATGAATTAGTATAAAACAGTTATGGTTCCTTGTGAGATCAGGTTGAATAATTTATGTTTAGCTGTCTTAAATTTGGTATTGAATGTGGGTTATTTGTCTTTAGTAATTGAATTTGTATTTGATGGTAAATTTAGAAGAAACACCACAGATAAGTTGATTTTTAGGTTTGTGCATATTTATTGGCACAAACAGGTGCATGTTTTTATGCATTTTCTCTTTTCTGCTGTATAAATATGTCGAGACTTGATAAAAAGTTTGAGATAGTTGAAGCTTTTTCCTTTGGCATTGCATACTTTGACCTTGCGTTCTGCTTTTTAAAATTGCTGTCTTTCCAACCACCACATTTGTTTTTGTTTTCATGCCATACAGCTACATGTTTAAAGCATTTCTTTGCCATACCACTTTGACTTTATTAAAACGCAACAAAGAATAAACAAGACATGGTGATGCATGGTAAATCTGTCTTGAAGGACACGCTTTTTATTGGAGTTTTTTGAATGCTCTCTGCTTCCAATCGTGGACGAAACCGTTTGATGTGTAGCGCTTTCCAGGTCAACCGCATGACCTTTTGTTAGGGCTTTAAAACAACAAATAAACCGACCACCATAGTGAGGGAGAGAATAAAATATTTAAAAATAGTCACCTTGACATGTAAATGAATCCGCAAAAAGTCTTTATTTCTGTAAGTTAGCATGGGCTTGCGTGCCAGACGGTTTTCTTGGGAACTAGCTGTTTTAAACTTAAGGCCATGGTTGTAAAAAAACACTGAACGTCTTTCCTAAACGCCGCTTTTCATTGCTTCCCTCAGACCCCCGAAACACAGACTTGCATGTCACTGCTGGCGAATTGAAAGCCAAAGCCTCACGCTGCATTTGTTTTGGTTTGATCAATCTTGGGTTTTGTGGTAATTCCTCTTTAATGCCTTCATGCTAGAAAGTGCTGGGGGTCTGAGAGGCTTCAAAGAAGCAGGAACTGGAGTGTTTTCCTATATTTGAGCATTGCAATTTGGTAGAGTTGTCAGCGAACACAGACCCACTGAAGGAAGAAATGCCTAGATTCTTTGAAACTTAAACACACTTGTACACTAAATTCATTGCAGTTTTTGTCTAATATAATTACCACAAACCTAAATTCACCAAGGAGATGTTCTTGGATTAACATCCATGTTGATCCTGGAGAAACATTCCAATAAGCCAATCAGAATGAAGGGATGTGTTTAAAGTTTATGTTAAGTTTAGGCTTGTGTTTAGGTTTATGTAATTCACATGATTATTATCCAACTATTATTTCCCTCTGATTTTGGGAGTAATTTGCAGTTAGGTTTGGTTTAGGGGTAAAGATATTAGATGTTAATCCAGGATCGCATCGTACTTGGTAAAATCATGACGTGCAATAAATGCACAAAGTAAATTCTGAACAACTTCTATTCCTTTTCACTAGTGATGTGTATGTTTTAACCATTGCATCAATGTAATTGGTTTAAAGATATGCAAGTTGATGTTGAGTTGCCACACAAACACTAGTGTTCAGTGAGTTAGGTCTTTTACACTAATATGTGTGACATATATCAACACATGGACATGACCTCAATCATTTTTGATGATAATTTATATAATGAGCGGCATAAAATGATCTTAAAATGACAATAAAGTTGTATATCGCAATTTATTTTGGTGCAATAAATAATACAATGAAGAATAGATATTTTGACAGGCCTACAGTAAGTATGAAAACTTTATTCACAGAATGTACAATATTTGAAGTTTTATTTTTAATTTTTGTCATATAATACCTAATATTTATGTTGTTTTTGTTTTATTTATTATATATGTATTATTCTAAATTGTCTGTCAGTGGAACTGAAGTGGCATGTAATAATATGATACAGGACCAACATATTTAAAAGTAGATAGAATTTCTGCCATTACAACAAATTTGTGAAAACAAATGTTTAAATTGCTGTGAAATGCGTAAAAACCAGCATTCAAAGATTTATGTTTAAAAAAAAAAAATAAATAAATAAATTAATGCATTTTTAGCACCACCCTAAAGACCTTTTTACTTTTTACTAAGTCAAACTAACAAGAAATGTACACTGTAAAAAATCCTGGGCTCCACACATTTCATTCATGTTGTCCCAAGTTACCGTAACACATTTAACAAATTTATGTGGATTGAACATAAAAAAAAAAAAAAATTGTCTCAATGAAATCTTAAGATTCCCAGAGATGGGTTGCAGCTGGAAGGGCGTCTGCTGCGTAAAAACTTGCTGGATAAGTTGGCGGTTCATTCCGCTGTGGCGACCCCAGATTAATAAAGGGACTAAGCTGACAAGAAAATGAATGAATGAATGGATGAAATCGTAAGAAACAACACTATGTATGTGTACGTATTTTTAAACAAAAATGTGATTTACTAAAGTCACACAAGTGCAAAGTTCACATCTGTCACATCCATAAGCTTTTTTCTCATTATTGCAAAAATTTCAATTAAAATAAAATCAGTGATGTTTGTTCTATAGAGAGCCGACTCTTATCTTTTTGATTAGCATTATTTATATATGTATATATTGATATTTCTTTTTGGTTGTGCAGTTTAATTCACAGAATGTCTGCATAGTATGTTGCAGACTGTAAACTCGCAGACTTTTTCGGTCACATCCATAACCCATGTTTATTTTCCTAAATTAAATCATAAAACATGTTTACAGATTGATATTTTCTCTGATACCATAACTCTGTGGTTAGTAGTTTAGATGTTTCAACATAAACTTAACATACAGTTGAAGTCAGAATTATTAGGACCCCTGATTTAATAGACCCCCTTGTTTACTTTTCCTCAATCTCTGTTTAACAGAGAGCAACACATCTCATTTTCAACACATCTCTAAACATAATAGTCTTAATAACTTATTTCTAATAACTGATTTATTTTATCTTTGCCATGATGACAGTAAATAATATTTGACTAGATGTTTTTCAAGACACTTCTATACAGCTTAAAGTGACATTTAAAGGCTTAACTAGGTTAATTAGGTTGGTTAGGGGAATTAGGCAAGTTATTGTATAACGATGGTTTGTTCTGTAGACTATTGAAAAATATATAGCCTAACGGGGTTAATAATTTTGACCTTAAAAAATTAAAAACTGCTTTTATTTTTGCCGAAATAAAACAAATAAGACTTTCTCCAGAAGAAAAAAATATTGTCAGACATACTGTTAAAGTTTCCTTGCTCTGTTAAACATCATTTGTGAATTATTTAATAAAGAGAAGACAAATCAAAGGGGGGCTAATAATTCTGACTTCAACTGTATATTTTCTTTGTGAATTAATTTTTTA